TTAGCTATTTTCTGTCATCTGTAAGATTGGTATCTGTACGTTGCGCATCAATCTATGGCCCAGGCGCTCCGCAAGCTTCACCTTCCCCTTTTGGAGCTGGTGCTCTGGACGATATGAGATGATCTGGGTTCCAGGGGTTTTGGGTCTTCGCCTTAAGGGGGCGGGGACTTTTGGTTCAGGGTTTGGGGACTTGGGGTTGGAGGTCTTGAGGTTTGGGGTTAAGGTGTTTTGGATACTTTGTATTTTCCGGTTCGAGGGTATGGAATTCGGACAGGCCAGAAGCGAGCTATCTATAGCTGGCGGGTGTCAATTCCAAGGCCGCGTTTTATCAATTCATGGCTGACAGCCGTCCTACGACATGACAGCTGTCCGAACACAAAGACATTCTGGAGCCCAGAAGCCCACGCTCCAGACTGGGGCTGAAGTCTCGGTCTGGGCCGCGTCGACCGTCCTAAATGCCTTGAAAGCACGCTGCCGCCATACGAGGTATGGCTAGAACAACAGCACGGGCATTCAGCCCTCCCAAGCAAGCACCTGATGTTTAAATATTTATGTAGAATCCCTCTATATGACACTCCGAGCGAAAGCGTCGTATGGTGCATCGTTCGAGGGGCAGCCCAATGGGGTCGGTGTCATCGAGTTGGAGAAGGACGCTGATTCTGAAGAGCTCAACGGCTGTGGGAAACGCTTTACAGCTTTATAGCTTTCGTCTGCGGATCGCAACAGGTTTTCATAATTGGTGGGCGTGGATTTCTGGCCTGAGTCGTCGTAGGCCTCGTCCTGAGTCGATTCGACATTGCGCGCATTCGATGTTGAATCCCCGGAGACCACCATCCTCGAGCAGCAACCAAAATGGAATCAATCTCGTATGCAAAGGATCTCAAAGCTGTCCTCAGATAAGTTCTTGAGCAGCTGGCACTTCTGAGTTGAGAGGACAAAGCATGCGCGGTCTGCGTTGGAGTCATGTCTTGGATTGCAGCAAGAGACAGCGCCAGTCTCTTCTGATGGAAGACTGGCACAGCTGGTCCAGAGAAGTGAAGAACAGAAAATTGCTGGAGCCATGGTCCCACATCAGCAAAGCCCGAAGAGTTTTCACGTACTTGCGATCAGGCCTGGCTGCCTTGGCATCTGCGGGAATCTTGCAACGGAAAGTGCTTCGTTCAATGCGTGAGCGAAAGTCAGATGTGCCCAATTCGCAATGTCACATGCGTGGTTCGAAGAAACAGAACTGTGCACAGGAGAAGCAAGCTTAACAGAACTTCAGTGAATTCCAAAGAGCTCAGCCCAAAACCATCAACGCAAGACAGGACTGGCAGTCATTCGGGCCATCTTTGGGGCAGGCCCATGTTTGCCATGATGTGGGGTCTCAGCATTTGGTCGAAGTTGTGACAAGCACCAGAGATTATTTCAGCTAATTAACATCTGGACTCTGCACTGCAGCTTCAGTTCGTATTGAAATTGACACCCTTTTCTACAGGTATTACTATGCAAAGCCTTTCTACTGCTAGGCGCGGGACCACAGGTGCAACGGCCTTGAGGTCCGTTCCGCCTGGAGCCCAATCACAGCAAAAAAGGAAGCGATGCAAAGTGGAGACGAGTCGCTGTACACGTTGAGACGATGTAGTGTGTTTTCAGCACACGTGTTGCAACAGCCCGACTCGGAAGATTGAGTGACATTGCGCATTTGCCTTGCGGGAAGGTGCCTAGCGTCTCATGTTCGAAGGGATTTCACGAGCTTGCTTGGCCAGTCTTGTCCCTTATGCTCGGGATATCTACCTGATTGTGCAGCAACAGAATGTTTTACGCAAAGGTACCTTGCTGCCGTAACTCGGTGCAGTCGTACATATATGAGGCAGCAATAGTAAGTCAAAAGGTGTTCAGAATCCTGATAGATTGAATCCTGGGATTTCTGGGCCTACCGGTGAAGCAAGGCTCATCGGCAACGACGCCCCTGACTTCAGTGTGAAGGCCGCCGCAAACACGTGATTCAGAATCACTTCAAGAGAGTGATGCGGTGATGTTTCCTTAGAGAGGTCTGGAAAGATGCTGTCTATCGCGCACGTGATGAGGGCACGTAAGCCACGGCCGAGAACTTTGCATTGCCAGAAACCCCTAATACACATCAGCATTGAGGCCCCGTTTCATGGCATCAGGCCGTGGTGGACCAGGAGTTCGTAGACGTTTCCCTGACTGACTATCGTGGAAAGCTGGGTCCTTAATATTAACGGTTAGCTAGGTTGGTTTGGCCGGGGGTCGAGTTCGAAACTACTTGATGGAATGCTGTTTAGGATTCAGATAGCCGTTCACACTTTATTTCAGGTCTGAGTGCAGGTTCCATCTCGTTGTTTTCACATCAGGCGATTAACGCTTAGGGGCACTCATGTTAGCACTTTTGGTGTTGTGAGGGGTCGACAAGCTGTGCCTGAGATGTTCCAGTGCAGAAGTAGAGTGCTGGGCTCTGGCTCTGGCTGGACGCGCCAAAGATAGTAAGGAAAGCTTTTGCCTGAAGCAGGGTCTCGTCTCACAGTTTGGGAGCATGCTGAGGTATGTGATTCTGTTCTTCTACCCCTTGGACTTCACCTTCGTGTGCCCAACGGAGATCATCGTGGCATCGCCTTGCTTGGAAGACGTAGGAGTTGTGCAGCAAAATCCGGTCAAGAGCTGCTGGGGCCTGTTTCCGGTGATGATGATGCAGAGAAAGAGGATAGCAAGCACTTCGAGGGTCATGACCGCAGTCATGATCATGAATACCACGGTGATGGTGGTGATCAAGACACATGAAGACTACTGTTATGAAGCTGGACGCGATGAGGGTTATGATTGTTGTTGTGGTGATGTGGTGGCAGTGGATGCCGATCACACGTGATCAGAACCACGGTCCCCAAAAGAGGAAAAGATATCTGCGATGATAAGCATGACATTTTGGCGACGATGGCCGTAGTAGTAGTAACAATGTTTGTCGTTATGAAGGTGCTGATGATGATCGTCGCGGGGCTGGTGTCGACAATGATGATTACTCGGGGTGGTGCTGGTGCTGCTGCTGCTGCTGCTGCTGCTGCTGCTGCTGCTGGTGAGGTGATGCTGGGTGGCATGTGTGAGATCGATGATGTTGATGATGGTGGTGGTGGTAGTGCTGATTTCTCCTGGCGGGCAGTGATGATTTCGAGGGTGAGTGTTAACAGTTAACACCGGTAGAGCATGTTGGTTAACAAGAGTGATCATGCTGTGTAGATGCTGAGGCTGTACCTAGACATGGGTCTACCTGTTTTCTCCTAAACGGCCCGAGTGCCAAGCTTGGCAGACAAAGCCTGGATATCAAGCGTGGGCTGTCGTACCCCCAAGGATGAAACCTCTGTTCTACGCCTGGATGCCAGGCATTTTCGGATCGCATCGAGGAGTTTCGCGAGCGCGATGCCGAGGCAAGCCTCTCTGTCGTTCGACTGTCCAAGTTAAGGGAAAGGATGGTGGTCGAAACACTGCACTGGCGATGTTTGTGCTGCCAAGAGGGAGGTTCTTCCTGATCCAGAAGTTCGGGTGAGACCATTCCCTCCACTTTGATCACAGGGCTGATTCCCATCAAGCTGCGGAACCTCAAATCTTGGAAACCCGAGCCTTCTGACGTCCAAGGCGACGGGGCAGAAATCAGAACTCATTCTTATGCAATCGCCGCAGGTGGACCCTCTAGCCCGCAAAACCTGACAGCTACAATTTAAGGCTTGTGCTTCAGAGCTCCAGTACATTTTGCTCTGCATTTCGGTGTCTTGGCAATCCCACAAGTAACATCTTTGAACGCAGAGTTTCTATAGACTTCCATGCCCTTTGAGAGCCTTCCGCTCGAGGTTCTCGATACCAACGGCCAAGGCAGTATTGTCCAAAACAACCACTCCTTCGCCTCCCACCCTCATCGACATCCGTCATCCACTCCTACACGCAAGACTGCACACAGCACGTCTCCAAAGTACAGTAGAACGAGGTCGCAGAAGTACAGGCACCTCAGGCTATAAGTTAAGCAGAAACAAGGACACTAAGCCTTATGCCAGAGGCCCCGAAAGGTACTGGACCCTCACCAGCAAAATTGAGAATCTTACAGTAGCCCACGAGCCCCGACATCCAGGTGCTGGGTGTCTCCGTCGACTCCGAGCCAGCCTTTGCTCGTTTGCTTTGCCGCCCTACTCGTAACTGTGCGTTGCTCTTTCAGCTGTCCTGGTTGCACGGCCATGTGACGTGGTTATGGGTTTTGCGGCCTTCCGCCACAATGCTTGTGCAGAGGTTTCTAGCTAATTTTTATGACGAATATCTGTTTGTTTCCGAAGCCACCACCCATCAGCAAGGTCGCCGGCGCTGCTGTTGCTGATGCTGATGATGGTGATGATGTCTGATGTGGGTTCTGAAGAGCACTATTCTAGTGACAATGATGATGAGTCAGACTCAAACCCTCTCGCTGGGTGGACTGAAAGCTCCCTCCAAACAAAATGCGACAGTAATCAGCGAAGTCATAAAACCACCCCTGCGGATGTTTTGGCATGCCCACCTGCGGGAACGCACCACAAAGCCTGTACTGTGTGGAGCGAGGTCATGCATATGCACATTGTTAATGTGATCACAGAGGTGCAGGCGTGAGGCGAAACAGACTCGGCTAAGGCAAGATCGCGTTGAGGTTGCCAAAGGTGTATATGTGTGTGTATATGTATATATAAGTATATATATATATATATATACACATACACATAATGTTTCAGTGTTAAGCGCGGATCGTTGTACTTGTTGCCGGGAGCCCGAATCTTGCTTGTGATCCAAACCTGTACCCTGGAGCCGTTGGCTGCCAGGTATTCGCATCTGGCCTGGATTCAGATGTCTCGTGACGAGGGTGGCCTAGGAGCTGTGTGTTTGAGCATTCTGGCTTGCTTGATCTCAGCGAGACTTCAGGGAACTTGTGTGTATAGATGGTGAAGGCTTCATTTTGTTGGGTTCCACTAGGCTAAACAACGCGTTAGCTAAACATGCCACAACTCCCGCAAGCAGACTCCCTCGATGTCGAACGCCTTTGGTCGAAGGCCCTCATAGAAAAAACAGTCAAACTATCCTCAAGCCCCAGGAAATCCATGCAACAGTGCTGCCTTAGTTCATAAACCTTGAAAGCCCTATAAGCCCTTTCCCGAAGCCTCCCTGCAGGAGACATCGAGTATCCTCTTCTCTCGGACCGGCCAGAGACACGCAAGAACTAGTCTGCAAGCTTCTTGTTCATAGATGTTGAAGGGCCAGTTTAGGGTCTAGGCACGACTTATGGCTTTTGATTTATTGATTGTGATCTCGGTTGCCACGCTGGATGGCATGGTTTGATTCATGGTGCTTTGTTCACGGCGATGATGGTTATATGTATATATATAATATATATATATATATATATATATATATATATATATATATATATATATAATACGTATGTGTGTGTGTGTGTTCATTTCTCAGGTTGAGGCTGTTTACATGCATTTTTAGGCTTATAGCCGTCTTGCCGCATTGAATAACTGTAGCGTTGTTGTACTGAGCAGCGTCTGATTGTCGTTGGACCACCTTGGTACAATCAGGGTTGGTCCAGGTTAATCTTGATGCACTGCACTATCGCGTCACTGCCGTATGCATCAAACTTCAGTATGCGTGTTACTTGCTCAACAGACTTGTTTTTTAGGTTTTTCAATCCGGCGGCTGCTGCGCTTTCAAACTGAGAGACCTTGAAGATGCTGTCCTTGACGCTGCAGGACCTGAAGAAGGATCTAGCTGTGTCTTATGGCGCCGGGGACCTACTGAGGAACAGGGCTGTGCAGAGTCACACAGGTAAAGGCTCACTGCGGCATCCTGCCTTGAATCCCTCGTTTGAGGTGTTGGCTCCCGACGGCGCCTCCTTCCGCGGGCTCTTCATTATCGACAGGGTGCTCCGGGATCTCCAAGTTCTTTGATGGTTGAATGCTTGTGTCTTTGGCCAGGAGGGTGTCGTGCAGCACTCGACCATCAACAACAATGCTTTCGGCCGCAACGTGGACGAGGAAGGGGCTAAAAGCGAGCTCTGACATTTGCTCTGTGGGATCACGTTTGACTCATTGACTGTCATAGACTATCATAGACTCATAGACTATAGTTCTCTGCGTACTTCTATGGTACTGCTGTTCCACTACTACGGTCTCTCATTTAGCGCGGTTCGGGAAGAAGGGCTTGTTTTCTTTGTCCTCGAAACGTAACGGAGACGATGGCGAGCATCCATATGCGTTCAACTGACGATTGTAGAGCCAAGCACAAGGAGTGTCCGCATTCTCATACTTGGCGTGATCTTTGCATGCTGCTTCGATGTGGCACTCTGCATCATGAATCCCCATCTTGCAAAGGATCCTAGGTCCTATGGTCCTATAGGTACAAGACTCACAGAACCCGAAGCTTCCGAAGGCCCTGACCCCCGACACTTGCGAGAACTTCACGCGTGACTAGTCACACTAACTAAGGCCTTGCCTCCACCCTTGTTTAGCCAAGACTGCATCCTGCTACGCGTGCAGGTCATTCGAGTACTGGATGCGATCAAATACGTTCAGGAGAATCCGGACGAGGCCGGCTGCCTTGATTTCTACTGTAGGGTGTCGAGAGCTCGATGGTTGGTTGATGCACACATCTGCAGACCAGTGTGAACTGAGAGTTCTGCACTGCTCTCAGGATCACGTACTCCGTGCCTCAAAATGATCGAAGTCGGTATCCGTTCGAAGTTATCAAAATTTTAGCGAGGCTCCTTGCCCAGCCAGGTCTGTCCGGCTGGTTGGCAGCCAGGGGCCTGCACCTAAGTGAAGAGTCGCTTGATGTGTGCTTGTATCTTGAGTGCATGTATCAGGTAGGTACACAGTCATGCACTATGTAGGTATTTACGTACATAGAAGAACCAAACACCTCTTGGTGTTTATCTATTGTCTGGAGTTTCAATAATTTCAGTAGTTGGAGTCTGAACAGTACACCGAAGACATGTTCAAATGCTGAGCTCGTGAAGGTACAAGCCTTATTCCTCAACTTCGCGCGGTTCCGTCAACCAAGATTCCGTCAACCGCGCTTCCTTCAACCATGTTCCCCGCTTCCCTCAACTCAGATCGTGCCGATTCTTTCAACCCCCATCGCCCGCTTCCCTCAACTCCCGAGTCTGTCAACCCCCATTGCCCGCTTCCATCAACTGCTCATTCCGTCAACTCCGCCCCTCCCCCCGCTTCCGTCAACACTACACTGCAATCTAAGCATTTCGCCCGCTCTTTTGCCAGTCTCGCATTGACAAATAGGGCAGACGTAAGTTAGTTTTAAACATTTGTAGGTTTTATTTAGTCTAACACAGGAAAGCAAACTTTCGCAGTCTTTAGTTTAAACACAGAAAAACACATTTTCTGAGTCGCGCGTAGGCACCAGTTAGTTTAGACATGGAAAACAAACCGTTTATAGGGTTCATTTACTTTAAACACAAAAAACAAACTTTCGGAGTCCCGGGTAGGCGCAGGTTAGTTTAGACATGGAAAACAAACCTTTTGTGGCGTTTATTTAGTTTAAACACAGAAAAACACATTTTCGACGTCCCGGGTAGGCACCAGTTAAATTAAACATGGAAAACAAACCTTTTGTAGGGTTATTTAGTTTGAACACAGAAAAACAAACTTTCGGAGTCCCGGGTAGGCGCAGGTTGGTTTAGGCATGGAAAACAAACCTTTTGTAGGGTTTATTCAGTTTAAACACAGAAAAACAAACTTTCGGAGTCCCGGGTAGGCGCAAGCTAGTTTAGACATTGAATTCAAAATTTGAATTGGGTTTATTTAGTTTAAACACAGAAAAACCAACTTTCGGAGCCCCGGGTAGGCGCAAGTTAGTTTAGACATGGAAAACAAACCCTTTATAGGTTGTATTTAGTTTAAACACAGAAAACAAACTTTCGTAGTCTTGTTTAAAGACAGAAAAAACAAACTTTCCGAGTCCCGGGTAGGCACAATTCGTATGGCTTCTTTTTCTGTGTTGGAAATTTGTGTCGTTTTCGCTTTATATCATTTTGGTTGTCTTAGCTTTTTACCTTTCTAAAGCGATTTCGTATGGCTTCTCCGTTGTACTTCATTTACCTTTTTCTTCGCTCTTGACCCCCCTGAAGCGAGTTCGTGTAGCCTCTTCGTTCGTGTTGGAAAAGACGTTTTTGTGTACTCTTCAGCTATACAGTATTTACTTTCTTTTCTTCGCTTTTAACCCCTTGAAGCGAGTTCGTGCAGCTCTCCTTCTTATTCTTGTAGGAAAGACAAGCTCCACTTTTCTTCTCTTTTTGCCTTCCTAAAGGGATTTCGTGTGGCTTCTTCCTTGACGCTGATGAAATGTTTGTGCTTAGTTTTCGGTTGTACCTCATTTACTTTCTTCTTCGCTCTTAACCCCCCTGTAGCGATTTCGGGTAGCCTCTTCGTTCTTCAACCCCCTGAAACGATTTCGTGCGGCTCGTCTTCTTCTTGTAGGAAAGACGAGCTTCACTTTTCCTCTACCTTTCTAAAGCAATTTCGTGTGGCTTCTTCCTTCATGTTGATGAAATGTTTTGCTTTAATTTTCGGTTGTACCTCATTTGCTTTTTTCTTCGCTCTTCACGCCCCTGGAGCGATTTGGTGTGGCCTCTTCGATCGTGTTGGAAAAGACGTTCGCTTCGGACTTCCTGAAACGATTTCGTGAGGCTCTTCTTCTTTTGTAAAAAGACAAGCGCCACTTCTTTGTTTAGCTTTGTACCTTTCTGAAGCGGTTTTGTGTGGCTTCTTCCTTCATATTGATGAAATGTTGTTTTTTTACTTTGTTCTTCGCTTTTAGCCCACCTAAAGCGATTTTATGTGGCCTCTTCGTTTGTGTTGGCAAAGACGTTTTTGTGTAATGTTCTGCTATACAATGTCGAATCTTGTTCGTCGCTTCTGACCCCCGGAAGCGATTTCGTGTGGCTGAATTCTTCGTGTTGGAGATAACGTTTTCAGTTAAGTTTTGGTTATGCAGTATTTACTTTCTTTTCTTTGCTTGTAACTCCGTGAAACGATTTCGTGCGGCTAATCCTTGTAGGAAGGACAACCTCCACCTTCCGAGTGTGTTCATCTTCCCTCGGAGTTTGTTTGGAGTGTGTTTTTCCTTGGACCAACAAACCGTTCCCCCCAGAGTTTGTTTTCTGTAGGAAACACAAAACCCTCTCCCCAGAGTTTGTTTTTGTAGGAAAAACGAATCCTCCTCTACCCCCGCGCCGCCCAAACCACTCCCCCTAGCATCACTGAAACAAACAAACTTCTCCCATAGGAGTTTGTTTTTCACCGCTGAAACAAACTCACCTGGTCAGGGTTTGTTTGTACCCGCTGAAACAAACTCGTCGAGACGGAGTTTCAAGTTGGTTTGTTTTCCTCTCCTCCCCAACCTGGCTCTTCGTGACCCAACCAAAAGATGATCCGCAAACGTTTGTTTTCTTCCGGCGAAACAAACCCAACCCCTCCTCCAAGTGTTTGTTTCTTTTTGCGGAAAAAACAAACTCGCCTGGACCCCCCCCTTCGGAGTTTGTTCTTCCTAGTGAAAACGAACCCCTCCCCCCAGGGTTTGTTTTCTGTAGGAAACACAAAGCCCTCCCCCAAAGTTTGTTTTTTGTAGGAAAAACAAAGCCCTCCCCCCAGAGTTTGTTTTCTGTGGGAAAAAACAAACTCCCCTGCACCCCGCCTTCGGAGTTTGTTTTCCTAGTGAAAACAAAATCCTCCCCCCAGAGTTTGTTTTTGTAGGAAAAACAAACCCGGGGCACAAGAAATCCGCGTGTTTGTGGTTGAGTAAGTCCTCGTGGCTGGGGTAGCACGCGTGTCTGTAGTTGGAGCGACTCTTTCTGTATAGGTTGAACGAAGCAGTTGTTTGGGTTGAAGGAATCATTCCCGGGGACGTGGTTGAGTGAATCTGCGCTGTTTGGGTTGAAGGAATCATTCCCGGGGACGTGGTTGAGTGAATCTGCGTTCTGAGGTTGAAGGAATCAGGTTTTGAGGTTGAAGGCATCCGCGTTGGCGGGTTGACAGAATCCGCGGGCAGTGGTTGACGGAATAATCGGCGAAAAGTTGAAGGAATCCGCGCGCGACCAGCTCGTGAACTTTCATCCAGCGAAGCTGACAATATATCTCCTGTGGCAACCCCCGCATGCAGTCTCACCTGCGAACGTGCTCATGACGGCTGGCCGCAGCAGTTTCGAATGTTTAAACTGCCTATCAAAAACTGTGAACTTCGACACCATCACTTGTCAACTTGACTCATAGTGCCAGTGCTAGTTTGTTTTTGTGCTGTGTTGTCTTGCCAAGCATGTTCCGATGTCTGTAGCAACAGGATCGCACCATGCGGCCTGATTTCGAAGGCAAGAGGGAGACACTCGGCTAAATCGTCTGGTGCTCTTTTTGGAAGACTTTTGGGGTGTAGAGATCCAGGAATGTTTGGGGGGGTCTGGGGGGCGTGAAGGTTGGGATTTGTGTGCGATTGGGCCATCGGTGCCTGGCTTATGAGTCTGCAGAAGTTTCGGGTGCCTTTGTTTCGGCCGCTGCTTTGTCTGCTGGATGCAACTGCGATGGTTGGAAAGCTTCTACTGGATCACAAGTTCTCAAGTCTTGATCGCGAAACATGCACGAAGAAGCCAAGCAGAGCCCACAATCCGAGGTACTTCCAAGACTCCTGAGTTGGTTCCGGCATGTCATACGTGCACCTGCCCCTGCTCTTGTTTGAAGTGGGCTAGATGGTGGGCAGGCGAGATTCCGGAGATGACAAGAAGAGCAGAGTCAGTTGGCGACCAAACACCTCTGCACTCACTGCCTAGCATCTGCCTTATCGCTTCCGTTCCCGTGACGGTTTCGTTTCAGTCTGCCGCCGGGCGTCAGATGTCGAGATGGTTAGGGATCACAGCATCAGATTTCGGTGGTTGTCCATGTACAAGCCCCAAGACATACGATTTGGCGAACGAATGCGGGCCTGAAGCCAACAAGTTCTCAAGACCCAAGAATCCCGTCACGTCCAGTCATATCTATGCCCCGCCAGATGCGGATCC